TGTCATAAAATACGCAGGTCAGTGTCTGCTTTCAAAATACAATTATCAGCATTTTTGGATATACTGCTCAGAGACCAATTATCAATTCTGTCTTTTCCGACCGACGCTCAACCCACTACGGCACTCTTCTTTGGCCAAACTTCGCACATGTCAAGCCCTACGACTCTATTCTTGTACAAAATATATCCATACTCCTGCTGACCAACTACAATCACATTTCGTGCGGGCTGAAGAGAGACTACAGTCTCTGACCAACTTTGGTTATCTTTCAAGCTAAACACTTTGGGACTTGATAGACCTCAAACCAAAAATCCTACCACGACTGTGTGTGTGTGTATATGAAGAGAGGGCCGTGGTCACGTAGGCGGCGAAACACACGTGGAGATGTTTATATCACGTGGTAGCGACGTCGGTCGTGGCTGTATATGGTGGAAGGAGAACTAGTGTCGAAGCAAAAGCTTTCAATTTTAAATTTTGGATACTTTTAAAATGAATTTAAAATTATGAATATTAATAGTGTTACGTATTAGAATTTCAAATAGCCTGAAATTGAGTTAGATTCTAATTTAGAATTAGTAGTTATATATATGCCAGTATGTCTCCAATTTATGATATTTGCCAACAAGATTGATACACATAGTTTTCTTTTTTTTAATACAAATATATTTTAATATATAAACAATAATACAATTTACAATAACAGTTATTACAAATAATTATTACAAACAATGATTTATATACAAAAGTTTTACAAACTTACAAGCAATATAAAGTCTTCTTTCTAGTCTGAAACCTTCTTTGATATCTAATCGAGGGTTGACGATGAGCGAGTTAATTTCGAGTTGATGTAGGTATAATTCACTTAACAGGGATCTAACTAGCTCTGTAGTTCTCGCTGATCACACGCCGATTACAGATCGAGTTTCCACCGATGACGTTTACGATGTCTTCGTAAAAGTACTAATGTCGGATGTGAATCCACTGAAGTCGAAATGTTCGAAATTTATAAATGTTCCTGGTCAAATATCTGAAGTTCCCGATTAATAAGCGTTAATCATAATTATAGCTTCCGAGGTTTATAGTATACCAACTATAGTAAACCAATAATATATGCTGTTTTTTTAGGCGCGTC